CACTTTGACAAAGAACAGTAAATCAAGCAGTCAGAATCAGGGCCATGTCCTGTGGCTCCAGAATGTTCCCTGTTTCAATGTATGCACCTTAGAACAATCGCACCTGTCTCTATCTCTGGTGAATTGAAATCCTTAGGAATGGACATCAGAGTGGTGTGGACTTGGTTCTCCATCCGTTAGGGTTTTTCTTTATAATCTAGCCAAAGGAATTTGGTCAAGGCAAGGATAGGGCAGGATTCACAAGGCAGCCAGCTTGTGGGTGATTCATGTTGTGGGGGGAGGAGATCTGAAGCCATTTGGGGGAGTGTCCTCTTTGCTGGATTTTCCTTGACTTCGAAAGCCATAGCTCCAAAGATTTTGCCTGAGAAACTGAGCCTATGACTTCCTTCTTGACCAGCCTTAATCAGGTCTAAAGATAACAAAGTCAGATGAGGGCTCAAGCAAAGTAGGCAAACCGTTCCCATGGGAAAGCAGAGCTGAACTTCCCAGAAGATAATTGTGTTAGAAACCAAAATATCTGATATGCATTTCTACTTTGAGGTTGATGTTTGGCCTTTTATCAAAACAGCAAGTGGTATGTCAGCTTGCCCAATTTTTCTGGATGGCCAAAAAGGTAGAAGTTCCTCCCCAATACATTCTACCCAAATTTCTTATTTAGATAACTGATTTTCTTTGATGCCCAAGTGTATATTATGAAAAACAAAATGTATGCAAACTGTGTATTTTATAAGGTCATATTTTTCTCCCTGGGTTTCTCAGGCTTGAACGCAAGCATCATTCAAGACCTACTTTTATGGTTTGTCAACAAGATCACTCCATAAAATACATTCTGATATCTCACAGCTGTGTGTAATTTATTCTGTCTATCCATGCAGCACAAATAAAATTTTTATTTGCATCGTCTAAAAGAAATATCAGCATATAAATACATAAGCAACGCTCATAAGAAACGGTCCTCTGACTACCCATATTGCTGAGGGGATATTGTGAAACCAATTAAAAAACTGAGAGATGGCTTCATTATCCATGTACATAGATAATAAATACTGTACTCAGCAAATAAGGCAGTTACTCAATTTCTTAAAAAGGTTGCACAGTATTCCACAAATGCTGGCATAATCTGCCTCTAAATTATCCTTGGAATATTTAGAAATAAAGCCTCTTTGAAGAAAACATTTTAGCTAAGAGGGCTTCTTTGGATTAAGATGTTGGAATATGTAGGTAAAAAGGGAATGTTCAGTGGCTGAAACAGCGTGCCTTCAGGAGACTAAACAATTGTATCTTTCTCTGCTACCCAGAGCCTTGAAGGAAATGGTTCAGAGGACTAAGGGTTTCTTTACATGTTTCTTTACATGTCTGTACATTTTTAAAAAAGAATTTCTTTATTCAACTTTATTTATTTATTTCAATTTGACCAGAGAGGGATAAAATGAGAAAGAGAGAGAGAGAGAGCAAGAAAGCAAGCCACCAAGTCCAGGACTTGAACCATGGTGGGTGTCTAGAGCCCTTAACCACCACACCTTCTGCTGACCCCCATGTCTGTACATTTTTTTACATAGTATAACATCAGCCTGATTATTAGTAGGAGGCCCAATCAAGGCCTCCCTAGCTTCCCCAAGTAGGATAGAGTTACTATTTCTTTCAGTTCCCTCACTGGTAGAGGAACATGCTAATTGCTCAACTAGGAGACCTGGATTGATGGCACCAGAGCTTTTCAAGGCAGTTCTCTTAAATGCAAAGACTTTTTCTCTAAGTATTTGAGACCTGGGTGAAAATCTTCTGGGCCTTTCAGTATCATGGCTGAAATAACCATAGAAACCATCCTATCTTCTCCATCACTATGATTAGGTGGTGGGTGATATAAGACTCCAGTTTTATATAGAACTCTTCTTTTGCCCAGTTGAGTAAGACAGTTTGATTTACCATTAATTATTCAATTTAATAAGTTACTTGTATTGGAAATGTAAAGTGCGAGGAGTAGCTTATAATTAAACTGGTTTGTTTATGTGGAGGAAATTTTAAAATGCTTACAATCGCTTTCTTGATAGGTTTACTTGACTTTTCACAGACTGCCATAATGACCTTAGTAATTCTTGGCATGTGGCATGGTTTTCAGTAGTTGATGAAAAGTTCAGATGGATCTTCAGATTTACTCCATAATTGCTAATTTTTTTTATAAGAAAGAGGTTTATTGCCTTAGGGCATGCATGCTTGCCAGAGAAACAGACAGTGAATGGGAAAGTGAGAAATCACTCCCCAGGGGGGGATGACCATGTAAGAATCCCTTCTCCTCCATCATCCTCCCAGGATCTTGGGCATACATGCACATGCACCCAGCATAATTTTCAAGTCACCTGGTCTGGGACTCAAACCACAGTTGGCCATGTGGGAGTCTAGCGATGTAACCAGTACACTGTCTGCTGTTTAAAAGCAGCCCTAATCAATTCAAATAACATGCGAGTTTTCTTGTAAGTTCACTTAATTGTACTCTGTAGTCTGGCTCTGCAGAAGCTATATAACTGGATCAGAACTCCCTTTCTTTTGCAAATGCCAAAATGTAAATCCTATCAAGTCCTGAACAAGAGATCCTGGTCTTGGTGAAACTTCAAGAATGATGCCATTGAAACCAGCTGATGCTAAAATATTCTTTGTATGTCACATGTATTCTCTTTCTCCAGCTCATCACATGCTGTCTCCTTTTATGGAAAAGGAAAACACTTGCTCTCCCTCTGCTGATGTGCTTTCCCTGTCTCTTTGTGGAGCTGGATGGTTCTCATCTCAGCTTGTGTGCTCTCTAGCTCCAATTAAAAAAAATTAATAAGAAACAACTCTCCAGCCTATTCTTCAAGAGTCCTGTTTCCAGTCACTCTATTGTCATCTGTTTTTCTTAGTCAACTTTTATCTTGATGTTTGATGTACAGAAGAATGACAAGAATAACACAGAGTCTCATTGTTTCATAGTACTTATTCACCGAAATGGTCTTTTTTGTTTAGTCATCTCTACATTGGGGCAGTTTTTGCATAGGACCGAGAGAGCTGAGTCTTCTGGGATGAAGCTGTATTTAAGAGATGAGTGTCCTGATCTTTTGAAGCTATCTCCTATTCATTCCTCTGCTCTGCTATGAAAGATAATGGTCACTGCTGCTCAGAGGGCTGCCTGTCTGACCCAGTTCACTGATTAGAACCAGAAGGGGTGGAGGAATAGGGAAAGTAGTGCTTGGGGGTGAGGAACATGCAGAGATCAGCACTAACACATGCAGGAAGTCCAGGCTTTGTTATAAATTATTTTTCTGGGGCCTGGTAGGTGGTATGGTGGTTAAGGCTCTGGACTCCACATGGCTGACTGTGGTTTGAGTCCTGAACCTTGCTTTCTCACTTTCCCTTTTTCTCTGATCAAATTAAAAATAATAATAATAATAAATTTTTTAAAAAAAATTTTACAAAAGGAGAGGTGGCAGTGTGGACCGAGGTGACTGACTCTAGGTGGCATTTGAGAACACTGGCCTGAAGCAGGAAGAATGTTTTGTTTCGTTTTAATGAAAGCTATTGGGTCTAGAATACCTGCAAGAGTAGGTTAATAAATACTTGAGGGAATGAGGAGTATTTTCTGTTCAGATAGTCTATTTTTTCCAGCTCCACTCAGCCCTCTACTCATGTCTGCAGATGTGCCAGTCCTCTGCTCGCACTGTTAAAATGCTCTTTCAGGCACAGGTTCATCTGTGAAGCCTCAGCTTGTTCCAGCCTTGTGCACGGCCGGTCCTCCTCTCCTCTCCTCTTTGCCGTGCCTGTCTTCATGGTCTGCCCCCCTTGTGGCCAGAGACCAGCCTGCCCTCTCACTGGCCATGTTCCCAATTTTCCGTTCATCTCCGATCCCTGTTTCTTCAGCCCTCAGCAACTGGGAGTTTAAATGCTTTGTGACTAGGTAGAGAATTTTCTGGAGAGGCTGTGTCAGACAGTTAATACTTAAGTAGTAATCCTTTTGTAACCTGAATATAACTGCAGACTTCCACATTGAGAATGATAAAATGGTGTGGATTTAAAAGTATTTGGGGAACTGTAAAATGTCTAGGATTAAAATTTCAATACCATTTGTGCCCAATAAATGTGAACTCTTTAGTAACTTAAAACTGTGCTATTATGACTCAGGTCTAAAAATTATGAGTCCTAGTTGAAGAAATGGGAATAACATGTGAGGGAATCTGGTCCCATCCTTTACCTTAAGGGATGTAGTGTGGTTGTACCAAATAGCAGCTGCGTGACCTCATAGGAGAGCAAGCCCAGAGAAATGACTGTATTTGCTAAGGAAGTGATACACTCTCCAGAAGAGAAAAATGTTATACTTTCCATTAGGATTGTTTATGGAATTGAAGCTAAACTGAACCTGTGTCGGTATATTAACTGGTTCAACAGACAGGACCTCAAGAAACAAGATCATATGATAGTTCATTGAACGACTTGATTTTTTTTTTTTAACGTAAATCAGTCTAGTCCGTCTGAACTGGTAAATTAATTTTGTCTATAGAATCACTTACTGAAGCATATAATATTAGACTCAGTAAGTACAGAAAGGAGAATTGGCATTGTGTTTAAGATTCACTGGGACTTAAGTAAATGGATTTAGTCTTAATACAGCTAAAGCTTTGAGACTTTTAATAGAGAGTTGATCTTAAGTAAAGCATTAATTCATCATTTAAAAAAGTCACTGCTTGTGCATTTTTGTTGCTTGTTTAAGAATTGAATTACATATCTTGACTATGAAAATAACCCAGCATGTGTTATGAGTCTTGAAAAAAAATCTGTTTTCTTTAAGGTACAAAATTTGAATGGTTAGAATGACAGAGAATTCATCTGTTTTAACACTTATCATGATTTAATGATTATAGTGTTTAATGGATTATAGTGTTTCCAAATAGTTTCACTGTGTCATTTGTATAATAAGCTTCTGATGCCAAATTCTTTCTGATTAGAATGAATAATGAGGCTGTTCTCCTTTGGTTCAGGGGTGAGCTTATGGGACCAGGAAGGAGCTTATGAAGTTGTCACTGCCTCTCTTTTGAATGGCGACCTCTGGATCCCAATAAGGAGCATCAACTCAAAGGTCAGTTGTTTTCTTTTAATTAGCTCTGAGACTGCTGAGGTTTTAAAATCAAATGAAACGCATTGATATTCTTTTATTCAAGTTTTTGTCTTTATCCATTTTAATGCTGATGTTATTCTTACAGAAGTAAAGTTTTATTTTTAGAAGATAAAATGCAACCCAGTTTTGATGTGACAGTTGTGACAAGTGACCCAGCATTATGTGTGTCTATTTTTCTTTTTTTGGGGGGGGGAGAGGTTTTTGCTATAGGGCGTGTGTGCTTGCTAGACAGACAAAGAGAGACAGAGAGACAGAAAGCGAGAAATCACCCCCTGGGGGGATGACCATTCTGTAATCCCTTCTCCTCCATTCTCCTCTTGGGATCTTGGGCATGCATGCACATGCTCCTGGTGTGAGTTTTAAGCCACCGGGTCCGGGACTCAAACTGCGGTTGACTACGTAGGAGTTCAGCAACATAGCCATTACACTAACTGCTGGTCCCCATTATTTGTGTCTATTGAAAGTACTTTTTGGGGGGTCAGCATCATGACCTAGTTGTTAAGGGAGCCAGATTGCACATGAAAAACCATGCAGTTTGAGCCCTAGCTCTGGAGGCTTGAAAACATGCTGGGTACATGTGCATGTGTGTCCAAAATCTGGACAGGATGGAGAAATGGAGAAGAAGAGATTGTGGTATGACTATTCCCCATTAAGAGTGCTTTCTCCCTTTCCTCTCTCTGTTTTCTCTCTGGCGAGCACATGTACCCTCTAGCAAGTAAAAAATAATAATTAAAAAAAAGAGAGTTACTTTTTCAAACAAATACCATAAATTTCATTACCAGATATACAACTTTTATGTTCCATTCACTTGAGTGGTGGGTATTTTTTTGTATTCATGTCTGTTTAATCAACATGTTGGCTTTTTTTTTTTTTTTCACTGACTATTGGAGAAAAATATTTATACAAGTTTTAAAAATACTTGTGATGAGGGACCAGCAGTTAGCGTAATGGCTATGTTGCTGGACTCCCATGTAGTCGACCGCGGTTCGCATCCCGGACCCAGTGGCCTAAAACTC